AGGCTGGGTAGGACTCATGAGTTGGATCTGGAGTTGGAATCGACCCATTTATGAACCCAAGTTTGTTCTTGCTCTTCAGGGCAACACGAACTGTCTTGCTCCATAAATTGTAGTTGGAAGCTCCAGTGAGCTTGATAGGGAACACCAGGGACTCATTAGGGTTTATGTAGAAAGGGCTGGTGAGAGAAGGAGCCAAAGGTTGAATGGGTCCAGAACCCACAATAGTGGAGCTGGAAGAACTATCAGCGGCTTGAGTCGCCATAGATTAAAGAACTCAGAATGACAAGAAGAAGAAGAATGCGGGTGAAATAGGGAAAACCCTAGACGCCTGAACCAGGCTCTGATACCATGTGAAAGTTTGAGAATGGGTCAGATTTGTGGTGAAACCCGCAAAGGGATCTTAGCCTCAAGGGCTGGTATATATACTGCGAGTTAACTCGCTTCTGTACAATTAGTTTAATTACAACGGATATAAACAGAATCAAAGCTAACTACCAATCAGAAAGCAACATGTGGTATGTACAGTATTAATTGAAACGAACTAAACACTGAGTAGAACGTCATCGTTTCTTCACCAGCTCCTCAACTGCTTCTGGTTAAAATGTTGCCGTGCTACAAGCTCTTTAGTGTTCATCAGACAACGTCATCCCCTGCAGTCATTCCCAGGAACATCATCTTCTCTAATATAATTCACAATTCTTTCTTTCCCACGTAATTCTAAATCCATTGCAAGCAGGAGGAGTGTACAACGTTTCGGTTCGGATCAGACTAGACCAAATTTATGAGAACTATGGTTTATTAGTGAAAGACACATCTTAGAATCAAGGACCCGATCATAATTGCATTCGGTCCCATCTGTTCTGATCAAAATATCAATTCAATCTATTTTTTCAGTAATTATAAAATTCATGAGACTAAGGACCGAACCAAATTATACTTGATTTGTTATAATCTGGTCCGGTATAGACCGAACCATTGCACACTCTAATTACACGTGATAAGTATATATGCTGGTCTATGATGCATCTATTTACTTTGAAAGGGTACCACTATATGTCTTTGATTTAAATTTTATCTGGCCTTGTGACCTCATCATCTATGCTAAAGTATAGGGCAGAGTGAATCTCCCTTAAGCCTTACGGAGATTAGCTAGTTGTTAATGCTAGTAAAATTGTCGAGGAAATTTTGATTTGCTAGTTCAATTTATCCATTGTTATGAACAATTTAGATATTTTTTAGCTGTTTATTAATTTCATGTTTATTATTATATTTTGAATTCTAAATTTCAATCATTAGTTAGTTATTATATTATGCTTTAAATATTAGTTGTTATATTTGATTTTGTAGCTTGAAATTGTGAAAAAGAAACATAGTAATTTGCATCTAAAACCAATTTTAGAGGCACAAAGTTATGCCTAAAAATGTTATCTAAAGGTACATCTATTAACTTTTCTTTTATTTTTGAGTGATATCAAGAAATAAGAAGAGTTATACAAACAAAACTATCCAAAAATCCCTTACAAGCGACAACCTAGTGAAGCCACCCAAAAAAAGCGAAAGACTCTAACTCTAGGAGAGACAAAAGCAGTTCTTTACGCGCCACTCTATGGGTAGCACTGCCGGCGGCTCTAGGAACCGTCCTAAACTATATACAAACTGACAAAGAGAATAGGTTCTGACGACACTCCCGGGGCACCGGACCTCCAATAGAATCTTCTAGGACACCTTGTCGGATCTGGTTGACGACCACCTCAGAATCACCTTCCACTATCACATGAGTCAAGGCTCTTGAGGCGACGATGATAATAGAATCTCTTACTTCTAGGAGCTCTGCGAGGTAAGAGTTGACTACTCCTTGGTGACGCAAACCGGCTGCCAACACCACATGCCCGTCTGAGCCACAGATAACAAGTAGGGATGGCAACAAAACCCGAACCCACGGGTACCCACCCGACCCAACCCGGTCAACACGGGTTACCCGTGTTGACGGGTTTTGGGTCGGATTCGGGTTTAAACCCGTTCATTATTCACTGGGTTGGGGTGGGTTTGGGTTTAGGTAAATCCTCCCCATGGGTAACGGCCCACACCCATGTAATTAATTTTTTCGGTATATTTAATATTCTAAGCAACTAATCTTATTTATGTTTGTGGAGACATGTCTAATTTTTTCTTTCTAATTGTGTAGAATGAACTTAATTGACAAGGAGGAAAAAGCTTTCAGTTAATCATGTTATTTATGGATAATTTGTGATTTGCTTCGATTTTCTTAAGTTTTCTAGATTTGTGTTGAACAATTTGTATAGTTAATTTGTGATATGCTTGAATTTTTTAGAATGGTGTTTTATATATGGATAATTTGTATTGAGAGATTGATATTTGACTTTAATTTTGATAGGAACTTGTTATTGTAAATTTTTTACAACAAAAACCCGTGGGTACCCATGAACCCGCGGATACCCAGCGGGTTGGGTTGGATTTGAGTTTTTCAAACCCATTGGATTTTACCCCGGTTTTTTTCAAGGATAAACCCATGAGTTTGTGTTTGGGTTTGACAAAACCCGACCCATTGCCATCCCTAATAACAAGACAAGACGAGCACCCTGAGGCACAAACAGCTCCATCGAAGTAGATCTTCAATTAGTCGTCTAGTGGAGGCGCCCAAGTGACGGGAGGAGGATTTGGGAGGAGGGATCTGGGGGGCGGAGGAGGATGGACTAAATTGGAAACTTTAGGGACCTCATTTTATAATTGTTTGGCTAGAAAACAGACATGAGGTTGATAGAATTCTAAAATCACTTCCAGATTCTCCAAAGTAAACAAATGCACTAGAGAATGTGGAATGGGGAGATCTCGGAGATCATGACATGTCACCACTATAGACTAAATTTAACAGTCAAGGCGGAATCAATGAAGTTGCTTTATCCCACTAAGGTACATCCATTAACCTCAATAAATTAACTTCACAAGCAAAACTTTCCTGCTCTAATAATAACACTACTGGCAAATAATTATGTCTTACAAACTTTACATAGGCAAATTGAATGGTAGCAAAAAATAAGTTCAGAAACAATAGCTTTTGCCTCTAAAGATCATTTTAGAGAAAAATATTTACGTTTCTAATGTTGTATATGAATGCAAAATAAAAATGAAATTAACGGTTGAAATATTAGCCCTTTAGTACTTATCAACACAAATATATGTGACTATATCTGCCTCTATTGGGGTATAGCCACTAGAGTATTTGTTTTCACAAAATCGCAAACCCTAATAATGATATAAACCCATTTGATAACCCGAACCAAAATAATGAAAAATGGGTTAATTGTTTCAACGCGCGTAACGCGCATTAAAACCTTTTGTCAGTCGAAAATTGAGTAGTGAAAACTAGAAACAGCTATGTCAATAGACAATTGGCTCTTAAATTAAAGATGATCTGTTTTCAATGGATCATACCAAAGCTTTAGGGCTGATGGGTGGCCAATTAGATTCTACCAAGCAAGCTGGGGACTAATTGGAGATGTATTAATATATCATCTCTGTCTCTTGCTTCAAAAACTTCAAATGTTGAGAAACTATAGGCCTATAGGCTTATAACATGCATAAATATTCTGAACAAAATCATTGCTATGGTCTTAGCAAATAAAATTCAACTTGTTCTTCCTAATGTGATAAGCCAGAATCAATAAGCTTTTATTTTGGATAGAAGCATTCTTGAAAATTTTCTAATGGCACAGGAGATAGTACAAGGTTATTCTAGGAAACATAAAGCTCCTCGAAGTGATGTAAAATTGATATGCACAAGGCATTTGACTCTGTTAACTGGTCTTATTTGTTCTATGTGTTGGAGGCAATGGTTTTCCTAAACACTTATTATGATTTGGATCATATCTTACCTTCATACTTCTTTATTGAGTATAAGTATACATGGTTCCCTCTAAGGGTAGTTCCTTGCCAAGAAAGGGGTGAGGCAAGGAGACTCTTATTCTCTGAATGTGTTTACTATGGCTCTGGAATCACTTTCTAAGATTTGTTATAGTACTGCTTAGTTTGCACAACTACAATTTCATTCTCAGTGCAAGAAAATAGATATGGCACACTTTTGTTTCGCGGATAATCTATTAATCTTCACTGAGGGGTCTACTACTCTCCCAAATAAGGTGAAGGGAATTTTAGAAAAAAATTATTCTATGTTTGGCCTACACTGCAATCCCAGCAAATGTGAGATATTTTATGGAGGTATAAGTCATATCATTAAACATAATGCATTGAATCTGATTAGTTTCAACGAGGTTATTCTTTATAGTAAAGTATCCGGGTCTCCCTTTAAGTTCAACTAAACTCACAAGCAAAGAGCGTGAGGTGCTAGTTGACAAGCTAACCATCAAAATTCTTTCACGGAATGAAAATAAACTGACTTATGTTGGTCTCATACAATTAGTTTCCACCATTCTTTACTCTCTAGTGCAATATTTCAATCTATTGTTGTATTACCTAGAAAAGTTTTGGACCAAATCTGTAATTATTGCTCGCACTTTATGTGGTATGTAGATGGATCAGGGAAGGCAAAGGTTTCTTGAGATATTCTGGCCACTCCAAAAAAGGAAGGAGGGCTGTGATTGCCAGACATATGTTGTAATAAAACAGTGGCCTTTTGACATAGTTTTAGGCTTGATCTACTTGGACAAGGTGTTTAATTGAATTTGATATATAATACAAGAAACAACCATAATATTCATTTCTTGGGTAACTGCAAACCGCAATGATTCCAATTATGGTTGCTGAAATGGAATTATTCTGGTTGGTCTAACCGGCCAACCAATTTGACTAACCAAAAACAAAACATATTTCAACCCTACATGCACAATTAGCTTCATTGTAAATATGCTTACAAGCCCATTCTAATCCCATGTAAGCAGGGAATTATACTTTGGCACATGATACCTGTCTCAGTGTATATAGTCTACGAGACATACAACTTATGAATTAACATGAGGCAATCATACTCTAGGACAAATTTGTTAACTAGATTAAATTTTCCATCTGCACGTTTAACTTAACAACCAAAGCCTATGCCATTTTCGCCTCCTATGTGCCCAGACAGCTGCAATCATATAAAAACATAGTGAAACCGTCCAAATACTCATTTCTAGTATACACAAGAATAGATGGGCAATTCTACATCAATCCAAAAGGTAGCTTTGATGAATACCTCAGAGGATCCTCTTACGCAAAACAGAACGACATTCATCCCAGGAGTGCCACCACTCAATTGGCAATTCAGATGAGAACCTAAATTTAGAGTGTAGAATTGGAACAAGATGTCCAGCACATGCACAACTAAGGGACCATGTATGAGTTCTTTGGTATGCCCCTCAATCATCAGTTTTCGTTCCTAATATTGAGAACATAGTCCTTCAGGATCCAAGTGGTCATCGAAGAACCCTAACATTTATAACATCTTAAGAGATGATAAACTGATACAATCCATTGGTCGTCTCCTCACTAAAACTCGCAAAGAGAAATTCTACTTAGCATTCACTACACATTGCATAATCTCCCTATCAAACAGACTGAGTGATTACAATCAACAAACCAAATTGAGTTTTCCCTATTCTAAGCCACAACCACATTCTCCGCTTCAAAATCCACAACTTGATCAACATCCATGGGGTCCGTGCTCACCACAAGTTGTTACACATAAGACTTTGAAAGCCAGTTATGAAACCACAGAAATAACACATAAGAGGAGGATACCAAAAATAGAGAAAACCCAAGATAGCATGCAAACAAATTGTTGTTTGGACATTAAAAGATTCGAATTTTGGGAGCAAAAGAAACCCAACTTATCCAATACCTTGAATTGGACATGCATTCCTGTTTGAGGGATACCCACAACTTCGTATATACATAAATCTCACACCTAGATCATGGGTGAAGTCGAATGGCCATCGGAGACAAAATAATATATGCAACTAGCAGAGAAAAGAGAAACCGAACGAGAGTGTTTTGTGCTTTTTTCAGTTCCGTTTTTTTCAAAATAGAGACTTCCTTCTTGGTGACTTGAATACACTATGAAATAGCATTCTTGAACTCAACTTAGCCCAATTGAATAAAATAGTGCATAAGCCATTTGCATAGGAGCAAGATGTGAAGTTTGTGTGATCACTATATAAAGGTTTTTTTTTTTCATCCGATCACACTAAAAACATGATAGAAGAAGATTCAATGGTACAACAAAAACCTTATCTACTACACAACAATGAAACAAAGTCTCCCACGAACAAATGGGGTGAAATGTAAATGTAAATGTAAAGAAGAACCAAAACTTTCATCAAGTAGAAAACAAATCTCCTATAGAACTAATACAATCTTCGTATCCGGCGCATCTCTTGATCTGCACTTGTCGATTATAACCTTTGACCAACCGTAACAAAATTCAAATTCCGCCGACAATATTCTTTTATACAATTGAGGATGGCTAAGGCTTCCAGGATTTAATCCTCTTCAATCCCCTTGATGACACTTTATTTATATTGTTTATCACTCCTATTCTAGACACATTTCCCCTTCTATTAATGCATTTTTAGCCATTTAATTCATATCTAAATCATAACTATTTGATCAATGAGCCTTTAAAATACCTAAGATGTGTTTTTGTACTATTCGATGCCTTCTTGGTATTTTTTATGATTTTCAAGGTACAAAGCATCCTAAGTAAATTTGGGTCAAGCATTGGACATCTCTAGAGAACAAAAAGAGCCATAAAGAAAAGAACATAAAGCTTTCATGATAAAGACGAGGTACAATAACGACGAAACCTACTACTAATCATGATTTGAGACCAAAAGAAGTTTAATGGAGAAAGAGACCAAGAAAAAGCAGAAACCAGGGGCAACCCAACAATTGGCCCAACCGCCGCTCATGGAGATATGATCAAAATACGTCCAAATATTTAGAAGAGGTTGTCCATGGATTAAGGAGACCAGCCCAAGAAGAAAACTAGTGATGGTCCAGACCAGCGCAGTACTGCCGCAAAGAGGCCCAACCAAAAAAAAAAAAAAAAACTTTAGGCCATGACTTCGACACTTAGTCAAAGAAACCTTGACCTAGTACGTTAAGAGGTTTTTGGCTGAGTTTCACTCCTATCAGAGGGCCAAACTCATTAGTTTAGTAGGCTGCACAACTACACTCAAACTTCTGCATACTCTACTCGAGTAAGAGCTTAGTTTTTTTTAGGAGAGGGTGCAACTAGAGAGATAGTTTCATCATTGATGGCGGTACCCTCATTTTCTTCTATGTTGATAGTTGTAAATTGATTGTATGAGGATGTGAACCTGTTTACCATTGTATGTATTGATGATATGATTGTCTGTCATGCTTGTGTCGATGCTTGTGATTTCCGATGCCTTACATGTATGCATGGATGCTTGATGTTTTTATGCCTATGTGTATGCTTTCAATGCTCATCTAGTTCAATGCTCTTTATCATTGATGCTTATGATTCTATAATGTGATACTATATGCATGGTGCATAGTATCATCAAAGTTGTTAAGAAGTTACCTTCTAGTGGTACCCCATTTATGCTACTTAAGGATGAAGGAAGGAGCTTCTAACTCTGAAGAAGAGGAGCCTTCAAGAAAGACCAATCTCTAGCCAAGCTTGGGAGAGGAGCATAAAACTTATGAAGATTGCAAATTTGATTATGAAGAAGAAGGAGCCTCTTTAACCTCTTCAACACCATTAATGGTTGGAAAAGAAGGACAAAGACAAGTGGCCATCCCACCTACTCTGAAGAAGAGGAGCCTTCAAGCAAGACCAATCTCTAGCCAAGCTTGGGAGAGGAGCATAAAACTTATGAAGATCGCAAATTCAATTCTGAAGAAGAAGGAGCCTCTTTAACCTCTTCAACACCATTAATGGTTGGAAAAGAAGGACAAAGACAAGTGGCCATCCCACCTACTCTTAGAGTACTCAAGGCTAAGAGCATCCAACATCACCACAAGCATTGCTATGCCACCAACCAATATAGAGATTCAAGCTCAACTCATCTAAATGGTGCAACAAGCTGGGAGATTTGGAGGAAGGAATGATGATGATGATGATTTAAAGTTTAAAATTGCTTGAGTTATTTAGGGATTTCTCTTGCTAATTTTTAGCCTATGTTTGGCACAATTGATGTTTGTAAATGAATGATGATATCTAGTATGCTTAGGAATGAGATTGTATGGTTCTTATAATGTTTTAATCGATTGAATGCTTGGATGGATTTATGAGTTTTGGCAAAGGGCATGCCAAAAATTTCAATTTTTTTAAGCATGAGATCTTTTGAGTTGAGCTTTAAATGTTATGTTATGCTATGAAACACCCTAACCCGACCATGTACTACTTTTACCAAAATACCCTCCATAAACTGTGAAACAAATCAGAACTGAAAATACCTGAAAAAACCCGGAAAATGCTCATAAATAACTTTAACAAATACAAAGAATAAACTATAATTTCATAAAACAAAGCCCAAACACTTGGGCAAACCTCAATCATAAAATCTTAAACCGAATCTCCAGTCTATACTCATAATCATAAAATGAAATATCTAAAAACTCTCTAATGTTGCGCTTATTGAAAACCTTGACTAGGCATCCTCCGTGATGTTCGAACCGTCCTCCCATAGTTGGCTTGCCTCGAACCATTCTCTCAATCTCGCTGCTCTCTAACTGCTCCTCTAACTAGCTGCTATCGAGCTGGTTCTCGCTCATTCCTTTACTAAGGCGTGGTGAGTGAGATGGGGTCAATCTACGCCCTTACGTTTAAAATCTCTAGTATCGAATACTTTACTTAAGACACTTAACTTAAACTGGTGGAAGTTGTTTGTACTTCCATTCTCAAAAATCTTAACTCTTAAAACTATGTGGGAGCTAAGTTTACTCTCCCTTCTTAAAGCTCAAATCTTGACTTAAACTTTTGACTGACACGGGGATCCCTCACTAGTTAATCTTGTTGTCAACTCATACGTATGAGAGCCCATCCAGGCTTTCCTTAAACTTAAACTTATCGTGGAAGGCTCTTCTTCCACAATTCTCAAGAGCATAACTGCTGCTCATCTTAAGAATCTCAAGAGCATAACTGCAGCTCAACTTAAATATCTCAAGAGCATAACTGCTGCTCTGTCTGAAAATCTCAAATGGCAACGGACTGGCGCTAGTGACTAAAAACACTTAAAACGACTTCACCTTCTTAAATATGAGTTCTTAAAAAGGAGAACTTGTTTCTTACACTTTAATAATAACTCCTAAATGTAAAGATTTAAATTAAGTAACAACTCATACATATTCACTCCGAACATAGCTCAAACAAAGCACATATCACTAATCATAAACACAATCAAGCAATAACAATCACTTCATCAAATACTTAAAGCTCGTCAAACATGAAAGAACACGTAAGGCGTAGAATTTACCCCCTTTACACTCACCTTATTTCAATGTCGATTGACTTTCAAGTTCAGTTCCAAATCGATTATATCCTCCTTGAGATGGACGATTAAACCATTGTTATGGCTTGCTCTCCTAGTTGGGCGATGCACGAATTGCTTCCCTTCTTTTTTACAATCCTAATAACCATTAAAAAAAAGTCCCAATTACAGCCAACTAACCTAAAGCCAATGAAGACCATGTCCACGTTCTCATTACCTAGTGAATTACCTCTTTGAATGAACTTCCATCTAATGCAATTACCCTTCCCGTGGAATAGCCCATGCATGTATCTTCCTATTGCCTCAGCTAGCACGTGTCCTGGGAGGGAATCGGAGAATCCCTCCCTTTGCTTCCGTTATTCCATGGTGCTGGCTACTACTCTCTATTTCTATATATCTTTTCCTCTTATTTGGTTTCCCTCGGTAGCGACTAGCGAGATTGAGAAATAATGAGGAGGCGGCGTTGCTTTTGCCTAGTGAAGACTCCTCCCCCCCCCCCATTTTAGATTGTATTTATAGCCGAGTGAGGGGTAGGGTTAGAGTTTAATTGTGCCGGTTAATTTTGGAATTTCATAATTACGGGTGAGTTTAATCCGAAACTCAGTTAACGTCCATAATTTTCTCATTTCATATAGAATCTCGACACTGTTTGAACTATTAGTTCACATTTTTAATCCTCATCGATAATACGGTGGAACTTGACCCAAAGATAAAATAGTAATTTTGACTTTTGGGAAGAGCGGGGTGTAACATGCTAAGTTTCAAATTTATTGGTATATGTTTTGAAATTTGAGATTTCAATGGGAGTAGGGCACTATAAGTTTCAAATTTTATTACTAAGTTGGATCAAATGTCATGACATTTTACTTGTGTCAACCTATCAATCGACCTTTGCCTAATCATATAACTCAAACTTTTAAAGTTTTTAAATTGTTTAGATAGATAGTATG